AAACCCACTCAACACTTCCAAATCCAAAAATGACTTAGAAATCCATAGAGATCCCAAGTTAAAAATGAATAAACACATAGATGCATCAATGAAGTAAGATCTCCGAATCTACAAGCCCCAACTCAATTTCCAAGCTCCTTTCTTCCTTCCAAGCTTTACAATCCACACAAGAACACCAAAAATGGCCTCAACTCACACACAAACAGCTAGGGTTCGATATGAAGTTTTCAAGAGAGCGTTAGGGACAAGGGAGGCTGAGTTAAGTTGTTTATATAGGGTGAAAACCCTCAGATTTAGGGTTTCACTTATCCAGCACCTACTCGCCAAGTCAGTCTCCCGACTCTTCGAGTTGGTCACTTAAAATTTCCGGAGCCACATCCCTACTCGACGAGTTGATCCTCCAACTCGTCGAGTCCCAGAGAAAAATACATATATTAAGGGAAAGATACCAGGAGTTACATTGACCTAGATGAACAAGTATTCTCAAAATCGGGTATAATCTTACTTGGGAGACCATTCTTGAAGACGGCTAGAACAAACAATTATGTGTATGCAGGAAGCTTAACAATGGAATTTGATGGTGAAACAATAAGTTTTAACCTTTATGATGCTATGAGGTATCCTAGTGATGTTTCATCTTTGTGATTTATAGATGTTTTCGAATCGTTAACTCTAGAATTGTCCGAGTTGTGTGATGATGATAGGTTGGAGGTGGTTTTGAGAAAAGGGTTTGGTTGTGAAAAATTAGCCAAGAAGTTGAAGCTCTACTTGCTAGACCCCGAAATTGAAAGATTAGTCAACAATTTGGAGATCAAGAAGACCATCCAGTTTAGTGTGAATCAAATTGAATTACCTCAAACTCACACGAGATTGCCACCATCCATTGTCTAACCGCCAAAATTAGAATTGAAGGTCCTTCCACAACATTTGAAGTATGCATACTTGGGAGACAACGAGAATCTTCCGGTCATCATTTTAACTCACCTAACCAAGTGTGAAGAAGAATAGCAACTCAAGGTGTTGAGGGAACATAAAGAAGCAATGGGTTGGATGATTGTGGATATCAAGGGTTTGATTCCCTCCACTTGTATGAATAAAATCTTAATGGAAGATGAATGTAAGTCGAGTATAGACACACAAATAAGGTTGAATCCGCTAATGATAGAAGTGGTCAAGAAAGAAAATTTGAAGCTCCTAGACGTGGGAATGATCTATCCAATCTCGGATAGCAAATGGGTGAGCCCGGTTCAAGTCATGCCAAAGAAGACGGGAATCACAGTGGTCAAGAACAACAAAGGTATGATGGTCCCCACCCGTGTGCAAAACGGGTGGAGAGTAGTATTGACTACTGCAAACTCAATGCAAGGACATGAAAAGACCACTTTCCATTACCTTTCATTGATCAAATTTTAGAAAGGTTGGCCGGAAAATCCCACTATTATTGTCTCTATGGGTATTCTGATATTCACCAAATCCCATTGGCACCGAAAGACTAAGAAAAGACAACTTTTACATGTCCATTTGGCACTTTCGCATATCGTAAAATGTCATTCGGATTGTGTAACGCTCCGGCCGCTTTCGAACGTTGCATGGTTAGTATCATTTCAGAATATGTTGAGAATATAATTGAAGTTTTTATGGATGATTTCACGGTATATGGAAACTCCTTTCAAGAGCGTTTGACCAATCTCACCAAATTTTTTAAAAAGATGCATTGAAAAAAATTTGGTTTTAAATTTTGAGAAATGTAATTTCATGTTATGTCAAGGTCTCATTTTGGGTCACATTGTGTCAAAGAAAGGAATTGAGGTAGATAAGGCAAACATCAATGTTATTCAAAGCTTACCTTACCCGACTTGTGTTCGGGAAGTTTGTTCTTTTTTGGGCCATGCAAGTTTCTACTGACAATTCATCAAGGACTTTTCGATGATAACAAGACCAATGTGCCAAATCTTGCAAAAGGATGTTGATTTCGAGTTCAACGAGGCGTGCAAAGAAGCTTTGAACAAACTCAAAGAGGTGCTCACATCCGCACCCATCATGCAAGCTCCAAATTGGGATCTCCCATTTGAGATTATGTGTGATGCAAGCAACTATGCAATAGGCGCCGTTTTGGGTCAAAAGAATGGGAGGGCCTCCCATATGATCTACTATGCATCAAGGACATTAGACAATGCTCAAAGCAACTACTCTACTATGAAGAAGGAGCTATTGGCCCTAGTGTTCGCCTTGGAGAAATTTAGATAATAGCTACTTGGTACCAAGTTTATAGTGTATTTGGATCACGCATCACTTAAGTACTTGATGACGAAGAAAGATGCAAAGCCTAGACTCATCCGGTGGATTTTATTGTTACAAGAATTTTATTTGGAAATTTGGGACAAGAGTAGATGCCAGAACTTTGTTGCCGATCATCTAAGCGAGATCACTTCAAATGAAACTCCTCTCCTATTGCGGGACGAGTTTCCGGATAAGCATATCTTTTCCCTCACTCAATCTACTCCTTGGTATGCCAATATCATTAACTTTTTGTTCACGAAGAGGTATCCCAACACATTCACACATGCTAAAAAAGACATGTTGAAAAGTGATGAAAAATACTATGTGTGGGATGAACCTTATTTGTGGAAACATTGTCCCGGTCAAATCATTAGGCGATGTGTGCCCCAATAAGAGAACCAATCCATTTTAAAATTTTGTAATGAATTTGCTTGTGTGGGACACTTCGGACCTATCCGGACCTTGAGAAAGGTCCTTGAATATTGATTATTTTGGCCAACCATGTCACGCGATTGTTACTTCTTTTGCAATAGTTATGAGCAGTTCCAAAGGAGGGGAAACATTTCTCAAAAGAACCAAATGCTCCAAAATCCAATCCTCGTTTTTGAAATTTTTGACGTATGGGGGATTGATTTCATGGGCCCATTTGCCATCTGATTTGGCAACGTTGATATTTTGCTCGCGGTTGACTATGTTTCTAAATGGGTTGAGGCCAAAGCCACATATTGGATGATGCCAAAAACGTTTATTGAGTTTTTAAATTCTAATGTTTTTGTAAGATTTTGTGTGCCTAGGGTTTTGATTTGTGATCGAGGGATGCATTTTTGTAACAAGATGATGGAGGCTTTATTGAAGAAGTACAACGTGACCCACCGTGTTTCAACAACCTATCACCCTCAAACGAATAGTCAAGAAGAGGTTTCAAGTCATGAAGTGAAGAGTATACATGAGAAAATAGTGAATCCCTCAAGAAAATACTGGTGTTCAAGGCTTGATGATGCCTTGTGGGCCTATCAGAATGCGTACAAGACCTCGATAGGAATGTCCCCGTTTAGGTTGGTCTTTGGAAAACCATGCCATCTTCCCGTGGAATTGGAACACCGTGCATTTTGGGCGGTCAAACAATGCAACTTCATCATCTATGAGGCGGGAAGGCATAGGAAGCTTCAACTCCAAAAGTTGGAGAAGTTGAGAAATGACTCCTATGAAAACTCAAGAATTTACAAGGAAAGGAAAAAAAATTTCCATGACAAATCCATTACCCGCAAATATTTCGAGCCAGGACATAGGGTTTTGCTTTATCATTTGTGATTGAAATTATTTCCAGGAAAGTTGAGGTCAAGATGGATCGGTCCATTTGTTGTGCTAAAAGTATTTGAGCATGGAGCAGTTGAAATTCAAAGTGAAGAAACAGGGCAAATCTTTAAAGTCAATGGGCATCGATTGAAACCTTTCTATGAAGGTTTTAATGCAAATATATTAGATGTCATCTAATTGGATGCCCCGATGTACTAAAATCAAGAGGGTTGCATGTCTCACCAAAGACATTAAAGAGGGGCATTTTTGGAAAATTAAAAGTTTTCGTCTTTTCTAGTTCCGAATAAATGTCGTAGATGATTCATTTTTACATTTAACATCTCTTCTTTTTCCTTATTGAGGTAAAAGAATGTTGGATTTGAAGACTCGGTGTTCGTATTGGTCAAAGAGAAAAATTTGAGAAAATTGACAAACGAATTCACGCGGTCCACGTGTACTCAAGGTCCTGTCCGCGTGTTTATTAACACGGACCGCGTGTTGTCCCTCAAAGTGTCTGCGTCCATTATTAGCAAACAGAAGAATTTCAGTGTAACTCACGCAGTCCGCGTGTACTCAAGGTCCCATCGGTGTGTTTATTAAGACGGACCGCGTGTTGTCCCTCGAAGTGTCCGCATCCATTATCGAAGAACATAATTACATCAGGTGAATTCCTGCGGACCGCGTTTACTCGCAGTCGCGTCCGCGTGAGTTGTTAACTGATGTTGACCGCATTTTGACCAGGTTTAACTGAAACTTAATACCCCCTAAACCCCCAGCCGACCCTTCTTCCTTCCTACTTTTTCTTCTTCCTTACCCTAACCTCCATTAGAGCACCTCCATCTCCACCACTAAAACTCCGTTTCCCGTCAAACCGTCGGTCAGAATTTCGCGAGACCACCGCCATTCTTCTCCAAATTCAGAGCTCTACAAACCAAACTAAAACAACGATTCGATCTGTTGCTGAATCTTGGGGCGCCAGCACCACCGCTTCGCTACTTTCCGACTAATTTCCGTCCAACTCCGGCCACCTCTCGTGATTCTGACACCACCATTGTACTCCTCTTGGACAAGGCTACAAACCCCACAAAATTTTTTTCCCACAGCTCGCCGGAAAATTTCCCTGGAATTTCAAGCCATTGTCGGATTTGTCGGGTTTTCGTGTTAAATTGCTTCTCCTGGGATATTAAACAAAGCTTAAAGCTTGGGGTGGAGAGTTGCAAGATTTTTCAAATCCTGAATTTTCGTGTGCAAAATTTTGAACATTCAACAAAAATGGGTAATTTCTTTCCTTTGTTTTAATTGATCAAGATGCATGTCCGTTCATTGCTTTAGAAGTCGATAGGAAGTTAGTTGGTGATTTGGATTGACATCTTGTTTGTCGAAATTGTGGTTCATGTAGTGGTTATTTTTCGTGTAGGATGCCCATGTCCACATCTAGGAAGCGCTCGGCTGCTGCCCGAGGCAAAGCCCTGACTAGAAATAAAAATGATGCTCCTGATATTCCAAGATTTCGGGATGCCAATGCAATTGAAAACTACACGAAGAGCTTTCCTAGAAAAGTTGCATCCACCAAATTTGTGTGCAAGCCCATGCTTATATCACCAGGCGTTCTTAAAGGGGTCACCCAATTGTTCTGTAACATTGGGTGGGAAAACCTTCTCAACCTCATGGCGCACACTTATGAGCTCCCTAGAAGAGAGTTTCTTGCCGATTGCGGGTACGATAGCGAAAAAAGAAAATCCACATTCCAACTTCTAGGGTACCGAAGGTACATCGATTTTGTGACGATCAATGACATCTTGGGCTTACCTTCTTCAGACACATCCACATTTTTCGACATCCTACCTGCCGAGTTCAATCACGAGACCTTATGGACGGAAATCACTGGGGGTATCTTTTCTTGTGCCGGGCGAGATAAAGAAACCTCTATCAGCCACCCATTCCTCCGCATTGCCCATTGCATCTTGGTGTGTACAGTTTTTGCCCACAAAGAAGCAGGCCAGGTCACCAAAAATGAGCTCTTCTTCCTTTAGTGTATGACGAGGCATGACATGCCACCAATCCTGGAATTTGCTTCATTCTTTTTCGACAAATGTGCACACATGAGATGCAAGACGTCCAATGATATTTGCATTGGGGGATTTGTCAAACTTTTGGCTCGCGGTCTTGAAATCGAGCTCCTTGACGAATACCAGCCTATTGACAACAAAAATCTTTTGGATGAGTGCTCCCTCATAAACATGCACCACATTCATCGCAGGAACAGGAGCAGCTTCACATGGTATTGTCCTCAAGGGGTCGGGTATCTTGTTCTTCCCGACCCTGGAGTCACCTACTTCACCTTCCACTATCGCACTTAGTGGAGACTCGTGAGGACCATCACTCAGTCAGTCAATGAGGATGTGCTTCAGGATCAAGATGATGAAGAGATGCATATGGATGACGAGCCCGATGATGACCCCAACCATGGTCCACAACACGCCCAACCACAAGTGCCTCCCGGGTACTACTCGCTTCCCCCCAATTTTTCCGAGCGGTTCGAGTTTCTTTGTGTCTCAAACCAAATTATGTCCCAGCAAATGCACCATATGTGGGGGTGGCACCAATCCCAATACCATTTTGAGAATGTCCCACTTCCGCCTCCCTATCCATACCCTCCACCCACCCATCCTTATCCCCCTCCACCTTACCCTTACCCTACCCCTAATACCTATATCGTCCTCCCGATCCCCCAGTTTAGGTACTTTCGCCTCGCCCCAAGCATTGAGAACAATGCTTATTTTTATGCTTAGGGTTGGGTATTCCTCTTTCTTTTTCATTTATCATCCATTTTAATTAGGTTGAAAAACATTTTAGTATAAATTGCATTCATTTGAGAATAAAATCTCCAAAAAGATTTTCTTTTCTTCTTTTCATCTTTTATTTTGGCATGGCATTTAGCTTAGGGCATTAGCATTAATGAATTTTTGTTTTCTGTTTATTCTCACCTCTCTTGGATGCCATGGAACAGGTTCACAGTTATTGTATCATTATTGGTCCAGGATCTTCTGGCTATCTCACCAATCGAACCGGGACCACTAGCTGCAGTTTGGGATTTCTTACTTGGGATCAGATGCTAGTAGCTTAAAGCGGTAAGGGATCATGGCTAGGTAGTTTTCATGAACAATTATGCATACAATACTAATGACTATAGGATATACAATAGCAATGCATGTATTAGTCTTGCGGTCACTACCGCAGAGAGGATCACACTTGATCATGTTTGAACCGTTAGGATGAAGCACTGGTGCTTGTCTCCAAATAGAATCCATATCCGGTCTCTTTAGATCACCATATCTTTTTGCGATTTTCTTAGGAATTTAGAGAGTGTTTTAGTCCACATTTGTACATTTTCATCATTTTTGAAAAAAAAATCACAAGTTTAAAAAGGAGCTTACATTACATCTTTATGCTCCGCACATGGTCATTTTCACACTTAGACCATTCAGATTATATTACTACACTTTCAGTTCAACTCACGCACTTTTGGGAACCAAATTTTGAGTCAAAGGGTTTTCTTGTTAAAAATTTCGATTTTTAATACATTACCTTCAAGTATGGTGTATATATAAAAAAAAACGAAAATGGCATGCAAATTTTCAGATGCAATTATCTTAGATAGATGGCCGATTCAATTATCGAACAAATTTTCTGACATCTTGGTCACCCGATGTTTGGTTTTCATTTGTATAGGCTTGTTTTATTGTATACAAATCGAGTTGTTTTTCGCAAATTGGTAATGTTAGGGAGACTGTCAAGTCGGATACAACGAGAGGTTTGGGCCAACACTAAGTGAACTAATTCCTACAACGGTGCCCGAGCGATTAAACCCAATTATACATGAGAGAAACCGGCAGATGTGAGATCAGAGTGTACAGTTAAATAAGAGATCCACATGAGCCCATCCAACTGCTTTCTCCCCTACTACAAATGTTATTCATTGTATGCACGTTCCAGTGGGGCTGCGACTGCTCATCCCTCCTTACTCACCTAAAGGAGTTGTCTTGTCTGTGGTTTATGGTCCCACTATCATCGGATGATAAAGTTGTGAGATAGCAACAAGATCAATTCTGACCATGTTAACTAACGTTGAACAGGTTCCATGGTTCTATCCATTATTTTTATTCTTAGGGTAGTTCGTCCCAAGTTCATTTTAGTATTGTCTTACTTGAGGACAAGTAAAGTTGAAGCCTGGGGTGATTTGATAGTTTTGTTTTTATTACATATTTTCATAGTTTATTTTTAGTTAAAACCATCTCATCTTAGTCAATCTTCATGCATATTCTCTTTTTGTCATTTTTCTCCTTTACGGGGTACCTTCTAGTCTTTTGAGCTTAATTGCAGGATTTACCAAAAGACCATTTGTTATTGGAGGCTTAGAAGGATGCGGGACATATGGAGGCATGTGGACTTGAAGTGGTGTGATTGGGCTTGGTGCTTGAGTAAAAGAAGAAATCAATATGGATTTAATTTGTGAGCAAGGATGATGATGAGGCGATGCTGAATCGAGCTACAAGAAAATTTAAGGAGTATTGGGTCAATCATTAGAAGGCTTTGGAATAGCACCAATGGGCTCTAAAGAGTTATGATTGTGGGCTGAAGTTGAAGAATTGAAGATCGGGCTAAAATGCATGATTAATGGCCCAAGTCTCACATTTAGCGTGACCCATGTGGTCCACGTGGACTCTTACGTGGTCTGTGTGAATTGTTTTGAGCTGATTCCGGGTTTGAATTGTTGACTCTATTTGTGGAAGTTTAGTGGGTGACTGTTGGAACCCTTTTGATTCCGGAAATTAGCTCCCTTTTGTTGGAGATTGGAGCCATTTATGGGAGGCATCACTTGAAGAACATAGACAATATTCTCTCTCTAGAGATTTGGAAGATTAGTGTAACTTCCTTTCATCTTGCATCTAATACAATGTTTGGTACCACTAAACTATATTGTTTTTCTTTTACTTTGGCCATGCTTGGCTAAGTTTTCATTTGGATGATTAGGGTGTAACCCATGGATGATTATTTTCTTTGAATACTTATCATTACATTGTGTTTGAAGTTTATGGGAATATTTTCTAGTTAAACATGTTGTTGTGTTTATTTATCTTTTATCACGAGCTTGGATGAATGAATGCTTGTATTTGTTGACTAATTTCTTGGTTAAGTAATGGACCTTCAAATTAGTAAGCAACAAATGGTTTATATGTTTGTTTTCATTTCATTTAGACCATCAAAATGTTTCCTCCATAATGATAATGTAAGCATTTGATTATCTTTTGGACTTGGAAACTCTTACAACTTATAGCTAACTGATTTTTACAAGATTTTATGCTTCATTGATTTTGTGACTTCAATTAAGGAAATATGTTAAGAGCTCTTCTAACCATTTTAATTTCTAAGAAGAGTTGAGGCAATATATGCTTATGAATTGCTATAGCCTAGTTAAACCAATTCACATGTCTTATTCCATTAAGTGTAATGATAAGTCAATCATATCATCCATGAGGTGTACCCTAAAATCAACCAATTCTACTTCCTTTAATTTAATCCAATCATTACTTGTTTACTTGTCTTATTTTTATTCTAGCTAGATTTGATTTTTGTCAAACAATCGAACGAACTAAACACCCCCCCCCCCCTTTTTTTTTTACTTTTAATTTTGTTTTGCAAGTATTGCACAACAAGATTATCATAGAATTATAAAATTGAACCAGTCTTCATGGATTCGACCCCTTTACCTCTATACACTATTTTAGTGTAAAAGATTTAGGGTTATTTATTTTGTTAGCCTCGACAACCACCATTACCCGAGGTTAGTCTTCTCACTATACGTTACCTAGAGTGGTAATTATGTGTAGACCGAAGGGTCTTGTGTGTTATGTGTATGCATGGGATTATGTGCATTGTAATATTTGTTTCCTACGTTTTGTACAAACCGGACCGGAGGGTCCAACGATATAGACTGGACCGAAGGGTCCAACGATATAGCCCGGACTAAAGGGTCCAACGATACAGACCGGACCAGTGGGTCCAACAAGCTACGGGACCGGAGGTTCCCGCTGAGACACATCGACCGAAGGGTCATACTGTAGCCTCGAGTGGCGTATGTGTTGCATGTCGTATTTTGGGGAACTCACTAAGCATTTATGCTTATCGTGTTATGTGATATGTGTTTCAGGTACCAATGAGGATCACGAGAAGGCGCCGGCATGATTCGTACACACTGGGGGATTTTTTGTATTGAGATCTTGGGATTTGTTTTTATTGGTTGATATGTAAATATTGAATTTTGGGATTTCTTTATGAACAAATGATGTGTTTTAAAAATGGAAAATTGTTTTGAAAATTCACGTTGTTACACGTACACTCCCTCTAATGGAGTGTTCGACTCGATTTCAACACGAAGAACTTAGGAAACTCGATCCTATACCCAATTCTTGAATGTACTGAGCTTTGAACCCTAAAACAGACTCTAAACAATGCTAAAAGATAGCGTAAATGAGTCTGACACTCAGTTGAATTCAATGGATGGACTTTACAAAGCAAAAAATTTCTGGTTGTCACATCATCCCCCGGCTAGATGGAATTTCATCCCGAAATTAGCTTTCTTAGTAGTAAAAATGAGGTTGTGCTCCTCTGATTGGCAAAATACCCCTCATAGACATGGAAATTTTGACCTAATGTCCATGATAGGATTCATACTTGGTCCATCTATCATTACCTCGTGTATACAAGTCATATATTATTAAGATTAGTTAGGGGTAGGATGTGCGACTTTTCCCCAGGTCCACAAGAAAACAAAGAACAGGAGACAGGTCTGAAGCACAAATACTAAATTTGTGTAATCATAATCATATACCACCCTCGTGTATACACTGAATAGTGATAGGTGGGTTGTATTCGTCCTTAGCCTTTATGCTTGAACTAGGTCTGCTTAACGAATGGTATTTCGGGAAGGTCTGCGAAACATACAGCGGCAAGGCATCGGAGCGAAAAGTAA